CAAAATAGTCGAGCAGGTTAAGATCCGGCGACCGCGCCGGCCAGATGATTGGGCCACCTCGATCCATCCACCTGTCCGTAAAGCGCGTGTTCAATACCTCGCGTGCCTGCCGCGAAAAATGAGCAGGAGCCCCGTCGTGTTGGAAAATAAGTTCCTGCCGTTTGCAAAGAGGAACTTACTCGAGAAGGTCGAGTAACTCATTTTCCAAAAAATGTGCGTATGCTTCTCCATTTAGATGCGGCGGGAGGAAATAAGGACCTATCTGAAAATAGTCGAAAGAATGTGATTTTAAAACATTGCTAGAGAAAAAAAAGAGAAAAAAAAGTGTTTTTTATAAATTTACTTACGATTTGGATCGTTACTATTCCTGTCCATACGTTTATCGACCAGCAATATTAAAATGCGCATTGTCGAATGGCGTGTGGATTTTCATCTGCCCTTAATAAAAAATTACGGGAGTTGAACACGCCGTTCGGTATGAAAGTCGCTTCGTCTGTCCACAGGATGCGGTCGGGGAAAAGAGCATTCCGCCGACACTGCGCGAGCAATCCTAATACGTACATTTTGTCGTTATATCATTCCTTAAAAACAGCTCGAACATTTTATGAAAATAATGAAAATACCTTCACAAAAATAGATGCGCTGCTCTTCATCCCGCGGGAGAAGTTGCTGCACTCTCTGATAATGATACGTGCAATCCGTTCCGGCGTAAAGTACGGTGCATCACGTATCGAGAGAGACCGAGCGCACGAGCTACACGGCGCACACTGTTGTTCGAGTTCTCCTCAAATGCTTGCAGGATTCTTTCTTCATCGTTTACGCCAACATGCATTCCTGCACCAGCGTGTTGTCGACTAAGCAACACGCTTCCTATTTCTCGCAAACGTCGGATACATCTTAAAATAACTTTGTGATCGGGGTGTCGTCCGCGTCTGAGAAATCGTTCCGCGTAGAGACTGGCGGCGGCATAAGCACTTTCTCCGGCTACATGCAATGATAATCATATCAGTGTATTCCTGAGCACTACAATCTGCCATTTCTTCACAGAAAACATTCGATCTTAGAGAGCACGCAACTCGAGACACGCTGAATGCGCTGGATTGTTAAAGAAACAATTGAAGTCAATAATAAATGAATAACAATGCTCGTGCTGCCGTCCGTCTTTACGCGGAACGATTTTTCGGACCCAAACAAACTCTACTATACATAGATAACTCATTTTGAAATGTATCCGTTCATTTGTAGAAAACAGGATCTGTTTTGCAGATCCTGTTTTCGGCTACACGTTAATACAAGAATGCACGTTCGCATTGAGAAGAGAATTCTGCGAGTGTTCGAAGAGATCCTTCATGCTCGATCTGTCTCGATACGTGGTGCACCGTACTTTACGTCGGAACGGATTGCACCCGTATCATTACCAGAGAATGCAGCAACTTCTCCCGCGGGATGAAGAGTAACGCATCTATTTTTGTGAAGGTATTTTCATTATTTTAATAAAATGTTCGAGCTGTTTTTAAGGAATGCTATAACGACAAAATGTACGTATTAGGATAAGGAGGTAAACGTATTAGGATTGTTCGCGCAGTGTCGGCGGAATGTTCTTTTCCCCGACCGCATCCTGTGGACGGATGAAGCGACCTTCACACCGAACAGCGTGTTTAACTCCCGTAATTTTTTATTATGGACAGATGAAAATCCACACGCCGTTTGACAATGCGCATTTCAATATCGCTGGTCGATAAACGTATGGGCAGGAGTAGTAGCGAACCGAATCGTAAGTAAATTTATAAGGAACACACTTTCTCTTTCTCTCCTTTTTTCTCTCGCAATGTTTTAAAATCACATTCTTTCGACTATTTTCAGATCGGTCCTTATTTCCTCCCGCCACGTCTAAATAGAGAAACATACGCACATTTTTTGGAAAATGAGTTACCCAACCTTCTTGAGCAAGTTCCTCTTCGCGAACGGCAGGAACTCATTTTCCAACACGACGGGGCTCCTACTCATTTTTCGCGGCAGGCACGCGAGGTATTGAACACGCGCTTTAAGGACAGGTGAATGGATCGAGGTGGCCCAATCATCTGCCCGGCGCGGTCGCCGGATCTTAACGTGCTCGACTATTTCGTTTGGGGTCATATCAAAAATTTAGTCGAGCACAGCTCGAAATTTAGGCGAGATGGTACAGAAGCTCAATGCGAAATGCAATTCGCGAAGCTTTCTGTACCATCACGCCGGAAATAGCGCACCGTACAACGCACAATATTACTCGCACAATATTACTTGAACTCTGCTTACGAGAACGAGGAAAGCACTTCAAACAATTTTTGCATTAAATTATGAGGTGGATTAGGCCTACTGGGGAACCACAATAAAAAAAACACGCCATGCTATCTACCGCAAGGTGGTGTGGAAATGATAGCGCTTTATCATTTTCATGTCATGTAAAGAAAATTATTTTTCGACGCATGAACACGCACGCACGCTCATACACACATACATACGAAGAATACATTTTCCTATACGCTATATTAATATGTAAAAGATTGTATTTTGATAAAAAAGACGTGGAACAACCGTAAATCAAAACGGAAAGCCAGCGCTACACACCGCTCGTGCCGCCGTAGCCATCGTCGTTTATCCCCGTGCGCTTAGCAACGGCCAGTGATGGGGCGGCCGTATTCCGCCGCGCATTCAGCGGTGGACCGGACGGATACGCGCTTATTTGCCAATCTTTAAAAATTAATATCTTGTTAACGATTGCAAATTTTGCAAAATGGTAGAGGATTTTTCGATTCAGTTTAATCTGTTTTACCAGCCTACAAGATTTTGGGCGGTTATTGCCGGACACCCTGTATAATAAGGGTACATTTAACATTTAAAGGAACATTGCTTTTCTGCTGCCTCTACTTCGAATGCAAAGCAGCAAGTAGAGTCACCAGAACATGGATCTCCAGAGCATAGATCATTAGAGCATGGATTATTAAAACACGGATCATCAAAGCACAGATCATCAAAGCACGGATCACCAGAGCGCGGATCACCAAAGCGCGGATCACCAGAGCGCGGATTACCAGAGCACGGATCACAAGAGCATGGATTATCAGTACATAATACATCAGACTACAAATTATTAAAATATCTTAAAGATTCTTCTACATCATCGGTATGTGCAGTTTAATATAATCATCGGTACAACGGTTTAATATAATATAGGTACATGGCTTATTTTTGTCAATATACACATACGTGTCATAAACACAAACGCACACGCGTGCAGAAATTTAAATATGCTACAAAAGGCAAAACCTGAATGTATAATGTACTTTTTTTATTATTGTAGTTTGTAATAATAACGTTATGAATTACGTCAATTAATTTTATCTTGTAGGCAAGTTCAAAAAAAATAAAATTGACATCTAATAAAGTCGTTAATATTAATTTCAAACGCTCTGCAGAAAATGTCGAGATGAGTAGTAAGAAACATGACAACATTGTAAACAAGTTGAAAACTGATATTGAAAAGGCGAATACAATTACACAAAAACAGAAAGACATAAATTGCCGCCTTCGAAGTCAACTCGAAGCAAAAAATAAACAGTGCGATGATTTAATAAATATAAACATTTTATTACAAGAGAAAGTTATTGGTTTCTTCTAACACACCGAAGGTAACAATTCTATTATTACTGATCAATCCAACATTGGCGGAAAAAATATCCATGAATATGTATGAAAATACGAGTAATTACAGTATCTATTTAATATAAAATCTACAATTATCTACGAAGTTTATAACTATTGAATTTTAAAGAATTTTATACATTATTTACATTATTTTATACATTGTTTAAAAAGAGCTTCGTAGAGACGTTTCACATAATTATTTAATACAAAAAAAGTATAGTTCTGAATTTTAATTATTTTGATTAATTTTCATAGAAATTATTTCCGCTGACAAAGCTGTAATTCATTGCATTATTTTTAATAAAACTAAAATATTTTGATTCAAATACGTTAACTGCGGCTGTGAATGCTCGAGAACAAGTTCAGAATGCTTTTCCAAGTGTTGGATTCATTCGGAAAACCGAAAATATGGTATGTATTATATGTGTACAGAGCAGTGTTTTCACTAGAGTGGTTTGAAATTTCCCTTCTCGTAAAAAAATCTTCCTTTCTTTTTTTCACGCTCTACCTTGAATTTTTTTTGTATTTTACTTTACATAAAAAAATTTTGTTATTCCACATTTTATTATTTCGAGAGTTTAATCTAAATTGTTTCGGAAATCTTAAAAAAACTGGTGCCAAATTATAATCCTAAAAAATTTCATACTTTAATTATATTAATTCGTTTTCAAGATTCACTTGGGAGGGAGAATGGATCTCCCATGATACATACAAAACAGTTGTTTTTAATTCCAAACGAAGTACGTCAAAGTTTGTTAAAAATATGGCTATGGCAGTCTTCGGCCCCGAAGTTCTGATGGAGAGTAGCGTGTTCGGAAATCCTTCCAATCGCAAAAAAGGAGAACCTGCCAAAAAGGCTTTAGAGCCCAAAAAGCTATTCGTGCCATTCGTGATATGTATGTTATACACTTCTCAACAAAATTAAAGCATCACTTACTCTACTCCAAAAATAGGCAAAATTTAAGAGAGTGTAACTTCCTCAAAAATGATCGTATTGAGATGTTCAAAAAAGCATTTTACAGCTTGAAATGTCTACTTTCCAAATCGGTACTTTAGAAAACGATCCTACTGATCTTTTATGGAATTACACGGATAGAAAAGGAGACCCAACGAATCTCAAAATTTTTTACGAACTTTGACAAGTTCCATGGCGCGAATTAAAAATCGCATGCAAATGCAGTTTACAGCTTTCGAAAGAGTGAATCTTTACCTTTAATTTGCTTAGATCGGAAGAGCACACGTCTGAACTCCAGTCACTTAGG